ACCCCCAAGGAGCCTGCACCCACCACCACCAGAGAACCACCACCCACTACCACCAAGGAGGCTGAACCCACTACACCCAAGGAGCCTTCACCCACTACCCCCAAGGAGCCTGCACCCACCACCACCAGAGAACCACCACCCACTACCACCAAGGAGCCTGAACCCACTACCCCCAAAGAGCCTGCACCCACCACCCCCAAGGAGCCTGAACTCACTACCCCCAAGGAGCCTGCACCCACCACCACCAAGGAGGCTGAACCCACTACCCCCAAGGAGCCTGAACTCACTTCCCCCAAGGAGCCTGAACCCACCACCCCCAAGAAGCCTCCACCCACCACCCCAAAGGAGCCTGCACCCACCACCCCCGAGGAGCCTGCACCCACCACCACCAAGGAACCTGCACCCACTACCCCCAAGGAACTTGCACCCACTACCCCCAAAGAACAGCCTTCCACCACTCCTGAGAAGCCTGCACCCACTTCCCCCAAGGAACCTGCACCCACTACCACCAAGGAGCCTGAACCCACTACCCCCAAAGAACAGCCTTCCACCACTCCTGAGAAGCCCGCACCCACTACCCCCAAGGAGCCTGCACCCACCACCCCCAAGGAGCCTGCACCTACCAGCCCCAAGGAGCCTGTACCCACCAGCCCCAAGGATCCCGCATCCACTACTCCCAAGGAACCAGCTCCAACTACTCCCCAGGACCCTGCACCCACTACCACCAGGGAGCCTGCTTCAACTACTCCTGAGACACCTGCTCCAACCACATCTAGTCCAAGTACCACCACTGAGCCTCCCACTATCCCAGAGAACCCTCCTGAATCAACTCCTGAGTTCCCTGCAGAACCCACACCAAAGGATCTTGAAAACAGTCCCACGGAGCCTGCTGAACCTACGAGTAAGACTCCAGAGGTGAGCAAATCTGAAATGACTACACCAACTAAAGACAAGACGACAGAAAAAGACACACGTCCTACCCCTGAAGCTACAACAGCGGCTCCTAAGATGACGACAGAAGAGACCGCAGCCACAAAAGAAGAAACTACTGCGTCCCAAACAACAAGCACAACCCCACGAGTGACATCCCATGCGGCTCAAGATGCCACATGGCTCCGGGCGACCACTCCTAAAGCAACGACCCTGGCCCCCAAAGTCACTACCACAGCAAAGGAGACAACGAGCATAGCCGAAGAGACCGCGCAAACACCTGAACAAACAGCTAAACCGACAGATACGCCTGCTAATTCTAAAGCCACAACTCCTAAACCCCGAAAGCCAACTAAAGCGCCCAAGAAGCCCACTTCTACCAGAAAACCAAGGCCAAGAAAGCCGAAGACAACACCAGCTCCTCCAGAGACGACGACGGCGATGCCTGCGGTGAACCCGATCTCTCGAGCAGAAACCACGCTCCAGACCACAGTCAGCCCTAAGCAGACTCCAAACTCGCTACAAGTAGAAGAAAATCCAAGGAGCGAAGATGCGCAGGGTCCTGGGGGAGAAAAACCTCACCTGATTCCCAGGCCCCCTGTGTTAATCCCTATAGTTATTCCAGGCAGTGATTACATAGTGAGAAGACCCAATCAAGGCATTAGCTTCGACCCTATGCTTTCAGGTAATCAGAATCACTTTCAGTTTTAATTATTCCATTTAAACTAGCCATGTTAATTTACATGTGGTAACTAGAATGCTCTCCTTTAGGATCACTTTACTAAGAACTATTACCTTGTTAGCCTGGGAAGTTTTACAGTTTCCCTGTAGGTCAGAAGAGGAATAAGCATAGCTTAGGGTATTCAGTCTTCAGAAAATTAAGAATCTAGGGCTAGGAATTGAGTAATAATTTAGGGCTAGGAATCTAACCCTAGTATATGTATCTGTAGGAAGCAGAGGTGGTATTGTCAAAAAAATATGAGGATTGTTTTCCAAACCAGCCAGAACTGAAAAATGGAATTTCACTTTCCATATATAGATAGTAAATGTGTAGTTTACCTGATGACCAAAGTAACCTGGACCATTTCAATTCACAAAATTTTATAAAATACTTTTGAATAGTGTCATCTTAAATAAAATGGAATTGTGAAGTATATCACTTATTTTACCTCTGAAATGCAAACAAAACTTCTCAAACCATGCCCTTCAAGGTCTTAGAGCAGGGTCAACAGGAAAGGGAACTCTGTTCGAGGACTTGGAAAGAACATAACGTTTTTCATGCAGTTCTGTATTTGTTTTTTGTTTCTTCAGATGAGACCAATTTATGCAACGGCAAGCCGGTAGATGGACTGACTACTTTACGCAATGGGACGCTAGTTGCATTCCGAGGTGAGCTATGTGCACATTTCTCTTTCTTCCCGTTATTTGGTGTTGGCGCCTACGAGAACCAAAGCAGGGAACAGCACTAGCGTGGGCTAAGGTTTCCGGAGGGCAACCTGACTGATCAGCCTACCTCTCACTATGAGAACCTGAGAGTAATAACCAAAATATCGCTTAGCAAAATTAGACAAATTAAAGCAACAAACCAAATGCCCTAAACTGATACCACTGAGATTTTTCACCTCTGAGACTTTGACAGGTAGTTCCAATTTTACTTTCATAGCAAATGAAATGGCATAAAGATTTGCATTCTGTGCTTTCTTTTATTTGAAAATAACATCTGAATCGTGATGTATTCAAGTGTTATACTCTGTGTGGGAGGGTAACAGGAGAGTAGCAGCTATTTCATCTTAAATTCTCTGCTAATTTAGTCTTCTTAAAACTTATTTAGATGAAATCTGAAAACACGTTCACACAGCAGAGGCTGATGAGATTTTAGTACTCATTAAGTTGTAACTCCTTAATTCTAAAAGATAAACAAATTGGGATAAGTGACTTTGTTGTTTAAAGTCATAGGCCAAGAGGCTGATTTTAGAGGAACTGGAAAACTAAAGTAATCATCTCAAAGATTATGCTAGATTATTCTTCAGACTTGAGAAATATCTGCTCTCAGAAATGCTCCAAAACTACCTCTACCCCCTGTACCCGCCTAAACTTCTAGTCCTACGATGCATGGCATAAGCTGTTTTTCTTTTCTTTATGATAACCATTTAAAATCTTTTCATAAATGTCTCTCTTTAATTTTAGGTCATTATTTCTGGATGCTAAATCCATTCACTCCCCCATCTCCAGCTCGTAGAATTACTGAAGTTTGGGGTATTCCTTCCCCCATTGATACTGTTTTTACGAGATGCAACTGTGAAGGAAAAACTTTCTTCTTTAAGGTAACAAAAATATCTTTGTGTGAGAAATCAGCAAATAGTAACTGCATTCTTTGTGACAACACAGATCACTTCATCCTCCAATTCAGAAGTGTTCCCAAATTTTAATGAATTACTCAGTAATCAAAATTAATCATAATTAACACTTACTGGTCACTGTGATACATTTAAATAAGTTGACACTTTCTTCCTACACTTAAATCTAAAAATGAGTTACTAACCTTTTTCAAAACTGTTAACATTCTTTTCTCTTTTAAATTATCAGGATTCTCAGTACTGGCGTTTCACCAACGATGTAAAAGATTCAGGGTATCCCAAGCAAATTGTGAAAGGATTTAATGGACTAACTGGAAAAATAGTGGCAGCTCTTTCAATAGCCAAATTTAAGAACAGGCCTGAATCTGTGTATTTTTTCAAGAGAGGTATGTGTTACACAATTGACAAAATTATAAAATTTTTTCTTTTTGCAGTTTTTGGCCGGGGCTCTACTCCTTGAGCCACTGGGCTTCCCTAAATTATAAAGTATTTTAAGAACTGATTTTTATTTAACGTTTTCATTTATTACTGAGTTTACTGTCAAAAGAAATCTTTAATGACTGAAATCATGTTCAATGTTTTCAATGAAAAATAGCAAAATTGAAGGCAGTGACAAGTATTTGAGTCTCTTGACATGTAAATCACAATTCATCTGCATTTTTAGGTCACTTTACTTTCAGTTAAAGTTAAATACATAGCTATGCAATTTGTTGCATGTATGCATTCAACAAGTATTTCAGTGTTAATAATTACTTTTAATACACTTGCCTAATAACTATTAACATCGAGACATATTTTATGAAAAACGAGAAAAAAATAATCATTTTATCCAATTTGTAAAAGTTCTGTGTTGAGAGGATTAATTTTCATATTCTATGTGACTTTCTCACACATGACCAACAGGTGGCAGCGTTCAGCAGTATACTTACAAACAGGAACCGGTCAGGAAGTGTCCTGGAAGAAGGCCTCCTATAAATTATTCTGTGTATGGAGACACAACACAGGTCAGGAGACGTCGCTTTGAACGGGCCATAGGACCTTCTCAAACACACACTATCACAATCCACTATACACCAGTCAGAGTTGCTTATCAAGATAAAGGTAACATTTTTATTGTGTTAAAAATTCTTTAAGTACAAGTGATAGTTTTTTTTACAGGGTTAGGCTTATTAAATACAAATACTGACCAAATAGCCCTAATGAAGATTATTGAAGCAAAACCTAATTAAGATTATTGAAGCAAAACACATCAACTTGCCTTAGTGAACAGTCTGAGCAGTACGTTTTCTTTATGCATGAACTACAAATTTTATTCAAGTTTTTTAATTGTAATAAATATTATCAATCAAGTACTTCTTACCAAGACCATTATATACAAATCTGTAGCCCTCAACGGTTCTAAAAGGTAGCTAGCAGCTCTATGTCAGAGGACAAGAACCGAGGCACCAAAGTTAAATATCTAACCTATGTAATAGCTACTAAGTGAATAAATTAAGACTAAAACGCCCATCTGTCTGGCTTTTTCCAAAATAATCTATTGCCTTTTATCTGATGCCTTTTATGAAAAATGTCATCTGCAGGTTTCCTTCATAATGAATTGAAAGTGAGCACACTGTGGAGAGGACTTCCAAATGTGGTCACCTCAGCTATATCACTGCCCAATATCAGAAAACCTGATGGCTATGATTACTATGCCTTTTCTAAGGGTAAGTTATTAAATACAATTTTGGAGTTTCTTGAGAGGTGTACATATGAATATAATCAAAGCAAAAACACCAACTGCACAATGGTGACTAAAAGTGAGAATCTCAACTATAATACTGATTCTAATTGCTGTGAAAAATAATTTAGGTTTTTGCTTGAATTTCATTCAATTAAATGAAATGGTATTGCCATTCAGTTCTTTCTCTAACCTTCATGAAATTATGATAAAACTTCCAACTATTTGAGTAAAACTGCTACTGAAAACAGTAATTTACTTCTATCACTGATAGCTTATTTGCCCCAAAATCATACTGATTTGCATCAATATACTGTCTGTAAGATCCAGAAGAAGTTCCTGAGAAATTAATTTTATTAATTATATTACCCAGGACATTTTTCTTTCAAAAACCCAGAAATGTAAGTTATTCTGCCTGATTCCATAATATGAATGACATCAGAAGGTACTGTTAAAAAAAGGAAAAGCTGGCTCGGCGCCTGTGGCTCAAGCGGCTAAGGCGCCAGCCACATACACCTAAGGTGGCGGGTTCGAATCCCCAGCCCGGGCCCGCCAAACAACAATGATGGCTGCAATCAAAAAATGGCCAGGCGCTGTGGCGGGCGCCGGTTGTCCCAGCTACTTGGGAGGCTGAGGCAGGAGACTCACTTGAGCCCAGGAGTTGGAGGTTGCTGTGAGCGTGATACCATGGCACTCTGCCCAGGGGGATAGCTTGAGGCTCCGTCTCAAAAAAATTAAAAAAAAAAAAAAAGGAAAAGCTCAGCCAGGTATGGCGCCTGATGCCTAGAATCTTAGTATTCTGGGAGGCCGGGGCAGGAGGATTGCAGAGCTTAGGATCTTGAAGGCAACCTGAGCAAGAGTGAGACCCAGCCTCTACTAAAAGTCGAAATATTAGCCAGGTGTTGTTATGGGCACCTGTTGTCCTAGCTACTTCAAAGACGAGGCAGAAGGCTTGCTTGAGGTCAAGAGTTTGAGAGCAGCCTGAGCAAGAGCAAGACCCCACATCTACTAAAAGTAGAAAAATTAGAGGGGCACAACTACTTAGGAGGTTGAGGCAGTAGGATTACTTGAACCCTGAAGTTTGAGGTTGCAAGGCTTAGTTGTGAGCTAGGCTAAGACCACAGCACTCTAGTCTGGGGCAACAGAGGGAGATTGTCTCAGGAAAATAAAAAAAGATAAGCTTGATTTTTCAAACTAACTCAGTTAGTTTTTAAAGGATTATTTCCAAAAGGAAAAGTGAAACCAAATTTTACTGGAAAATGTTGAAAGGTCAATCTTTTGAAAGATCAAAAATGCTGAAAGGTTAAAGCACTTGTTTTACTTTTTGTAAGAATGTTCAAATTCATAAAAACATTTCTGATATTAAAATGATAAACACTGTCTTTGAGCATAATAACATTATTTTGAGTTTTGAGTGTTTTATTTTCCTTTTAATTAAAAAAAAATGACTTCTCTTCCTTTTAGACCAATACTATAACATTGATGTGCCTAGCAGAACAGCAAGAGCAATTACTACTCGTTCTGGACAGACGCTATCCAAAGTCTGGTATAATTGTCCTTAAACTGATGGGCAAAGGAAGAGTCAACTAATTCAAATGAAGGAAAGAATGATAAACTTTGACACTGAAATACATTTTATTAATAAAGATGTTGAGATGAACATACCAATTTAAAATACAAAAAGTTTGTAAACTCGACAACATTACACTAAAGCAGACAACAATCTCATTCAGTTATTTTAGTTTACAATTTAATTAATATTTCCTCTATTTATTCCTCCTCTACTTCCCATTGCATGGCTCACACCTGTTAAGAGAAAAATATAGAATAAAATTAAATTCATCTTTCACACACTCAAAACTAGGGTTTTTATTTACTCTAGTTCTTCAAGAGATTGTTTTCAGCATGAAATATCTAGGCATTGTGGATATGAAATTGTCAGATACTCCACACCATTAATGGAAACCATTACAACAATTAGATTATTAAAATTTTAAATTCTTTTTACTAGCTAAAACAAAGTCACAAATTTCATTTTGTTCTATAAAAAAATACTTAACAATATAATGATGATAGAGAGATATAACAAATGAATATAATAGCACTATAGAGAATAACAAATGAATATAATAGCACTATGTTACACTTTAAATTTTCCAAATCTTAATTTGAATTTAAGAAGGAAATCAATATATAAACACACATTTATTATATACCTTTGGTATATAAACCTATCTACAAGAAGCTTCCAGATTAGTAAATATCACATGCTCCTCATGTAATTATTTCATCAATCCTCAAAATATTTAAAAAATTAAATTGAAAGTTTAAGGATTGGAAAACTTGTCTCCTTTACTACTATCCCACATTCTATCGTGTAATCACTATGCCAGAAATTCACCTCTCTGTCTGTTAAACTGACGACCACGGACGCCTTGTCTCAATGTTGTCTGAAGTCTCACTCGTCTAAAAGGCTTCGGTTGACTGCTGCTAGTATCTAAGAAAAACATGAAGATATTAAAAAAAGAACTTAGAAAACAAGAAAGCACTTATGACACAAGTTAATTAATAAATGAATGCATAAATAACATGTAGACATGTCCATTTACTTTCAATACATTTTTTTAAACAGTAAGAGGACATTTAACGAAGCAAAAAGGGTAAATGGTTAACAAAAATCCTTATTTGTAAAAAAAAAAAAAAAAAAAAAAAGGCTGACTTTTCATTCATTCACTCAACTAATTTAATAAATATTTACTTGGTGACTACATTAGGTGCTGGGAAATATGATGGAACACAAATTATCAGGCCCCTCAGCAAACAGCCCTTACAACAGAACATAAATCATACCTGATTCTTCTACTTTGGACACCCCAAATCTTGTCATTAGCAAATCCTGCAAGCTCAAATTTAAATATATATCCCAGATCTGACCATTTGTCACAATCTTAAGTCTTCCGTCATGCTGAAGCCATCACCATCTTTTCTCGTGAATTACTGCAACTGCCTCTTAACTTTCTCCTGGTTTCTGTCCATTACTCATTTTCACCTCTTTTACACAGCAGCCAAACTGATACTGTTAAGCCTTTAAAGTCAGATCATGTCATTCCTCTGCTTTAAGCCTTCCAATAGCAGCCTGTGCCCAAGAAAGCCAAGGCAATTACAATGACTTGATTTATCAACCTCTCATTTGAAGGTTCCCATTCAAAAATGAAAATAATTAGAGTGAATGACTGAGTGAATTTCCTGCCTAAAAATGTTGAGATAGATAGTTAGTGTGGCATATTGTTTCAGAGTGGAGTCTCTAGAGCCAAACTTCCTTCTGCACCCTGGCTTGCCCATTACTTATTAGTTATTTGACCTAAAAGAAGTTATTCACCCTTTCTGTGCCTCTGTCTCCATATCTATAAAATGGGGGTGAGTACCTACCACACTCAATTGTTGGGAGAATCAAATGAGTAAATAAATATACATAAAAGACTTAGAATACTGCCTGATACACAGTAAGTGCTCAAAAATGCCAATTGTTATTATACATGCAAAAAAATGACTTTTATGGGCGGTGCCTATGGCTCAAAAGGGTAGGGCACCAGCCCCATATCCCAGAGGTGGAGGGTTCAAACCCACCCCAGCCAAAAAAACTGCAAAAAAAAAAAATAATAATTTTTATTATAGGAAAGAGACATGATACCTTTTTTTCAAAATACACTTCAATTTGGAAAGCCAAATTCTGAAACTGTTTACTTCAGTAAACTTCAAACATTTTTTAAGCAACAGAACTTTCCCCTTTCAACCTTCTACATCAAATCTCATGTCAAACCCCAGTATGTAGAACAAATAAAAATGGAGCTGCTCTGGTCAAACAGAGGCAGGAGGCCTGGAGTCCTCACCACTCCATAGCTTCCCTCCCAGTATGCCCATTCCCAACCTCTGCAGTACCTCTAAGCAATGCAAGAACTCTACAGAACATGTGGAGAATCACTCGTCTAGATGAATCCTAAGTGAACTATTCTTTTAGTTATACCACTAATTTTGGGATGGATCCACCATCGCCATATTTATGGTTATTGATGTCAGAATATTCTTAGAAATAATGACCTCAATATCAAGCAAATTCACTTCAATAATACAATTTCCCTCCTAAATAAAGCATTTTAAAACACACACACACACACACAAAATGAATGAAGGATTTGTTACTAACCCAACTGTTTTCACAGACAAGTCTGATGTGTAAGAGTTGTACTATAGTCAAGAGCACGAACTCACCTACAGAAGAGCTGGAAGGAGGATCTTGGCTGGTAGAAGGGAGATCAGACTCATCAGACACCTGAACAGGCTCTTCTTCCTGCTGGCTATCAATTTCTAGGCCTGCTTCTGAACTAATGCTGAGGAAAACAGAAATTGATTAGAAAAGACAAAACTGATTCTACAATGTATCCTAAATTATTTCCAAATTCTTTTTGATCTAGTTGATCACTTAAATCATCCAAATCTTTCCTTAAACTAAAAAGGACATACTCTGATCTTGGTAACTGTACATATTTTATAAAGGGGCAGGAAGAAAGGAGGTAAGGAAGGGTAAAGCTGCTTTTTCTTCATTTCTTTTCTCACCAGCACATGGTCCAACTTCAGTTTTAGCTTTTCTTCTTTTTTTTTTTTGTTTCCTTCTTTCCTTTTGACAAGGATATTCACATTTTTGACACTCACAGGAAATATACTGTCCAGATTTTAAGAGATCCCAAAACTTTTTAGGAGTATTAAAATAATTAAAATTAGTCACACTACTAAATCATACACCAGTAACTCCCCATGAGCTCTACCCCCTTGGAGATAGGCTTTGGGTATGTTTAATTCCTAGCTAAATGGTTACAACTCCATCTTTTTCCCACTCAAGAAGCAAGAGAGTGAGTCAGTATGTGAACAACACATATGTGCTCCGGTTTTTTTTTTAACCATTTACAAACTTCAGTGGTTACTAGTAATAATTTAGCTGAGAGATATCTCTTAGAAGTATGTGCTAAAATTGAGAAGTGCTGGTGAAATGTAAAATGCATTTTACATTAGGATTTGAAGTTAGGGTTTCAAATCCAGTTTGAGCTGGTTACCAATAGTATAGTCTAAGCAAGTTACTGTAACATGCTCTGAGTCTGAGGTTTTTCATTTGTATAATGTACATAACACTTTGCACTAATAATGTGTAGGTTAGATACGACATACAAAGAGCCTTGAATGCATGATACAGAGTTAATGGAAGCTAGTATTCACAACAGAGTCTTTACCGTCCTCCACATCAACACACTGCTGACCAGTTATGAGTTAACCAGTAACATGGATAGTTTCTGTATAAAAGTGCCAAATCAAGTTAAATAGCACCATGTTAAAGAGTAACAATTGACCTACTTTTTTCCTCACATACTAGAGTTGGCCCATAACTACTGTATGAAAATGTTGCTAAATAAAATAAAATTCTTGAGTTCACTTAGGAAATCTGGGTTCTACTTCTGGCTGTGCTTCTGATCATGAGGTGGTCCAATTATTATTATTATTTTTTATTTTATAAAGAATTAGGTTCTATCTTTAAAGTTAAATAACCTCTTTAAGATCACTGTCCATGGCCTGTTCCATTAAGTTACACCATTTCTTTTGGCTTAAAAAAAAATCCAAAGGATTTGTCATGAAACCCTTTTGTTAAACTTTTTTATAACTGCTATGTTATTAAAAAAATGTAGTTCTGTCTCAAAAACTACTAGAAAATCTGTAATTTTTATAAAGCCAGTATTTCAGGCACCAAAGTCTAAATAAATGTGCACAAATGAAGACTCAGGATCTCTTCAGAGCTCACTGCTAAATGGAAAAGTGAGTCATTTCCTAATATTCCCAATTTTCACCGAAAGGCTACTTTCTTAGGGAAAAGTTCAAGCAGCTATGTGAGTGGAAAGGGACCAATACTTTTAATAAAATACTTTCATCTAGAACATATCCATCATACAATTTTTAGGGAGATAATGGCTTTAAAAATTATTTGTCTTCTATAATAATCTTCAAGTTATAAAATATATTACTATATGTAAAACAGTCTTTTTAAGTATATGGTTTGGTTCAGTTTATTTATTATTTCTATTTTTTTTTTTTTTGGCAGAGTTTATTTGTTACTCTCAGTAGAGTGCCATGTCCTCATAGCTCACAGCAAACTCAAACTCTTGGGTTCAAGTGATCCTCTTGCCTTAGCCTCCCGAGCAGCTGGGACTACAGGTGCCCATCACAATGCCTGGCTAGTTTTTCTATTTTTGGAAAATAGAAAAAAAGAATCACTTTGCTCAGGCTGGTCTGGAACTTCTGAGCTTAAGCAATCTACCTGTCTCGGCCTCCCAGAGTGCCAGGATTACAGGAGTGAGGCACAGTGCCCAGCCTGGTTCAGATTTTTAGTAGGATGCTGTTACAAGTAGAGCTTAACAGATTTTTTTCCCCCAGCTAAAGGAAAACAACTGTATAAGTCTGGTGAGTCTAAAGCAAGCAAAAACTATAAAATAAATTACCCTTCGGATTCTGCTTCCACAAATACTTCGTCTCCATCATCACCTGTTGCTGTTTCATTTGTTGTAGATAAAGTGCCAGTAGAGGTTGTCACCATTGGAACAGACTGAGAGGCATGCTCTGAAGCATCAGAGGTGGTACTCTCAGTAAATACAGTCACTTAAAAAACAAAGAAAAAAATGAAAAATTCAAACTTTAACTTTTAAGTTCATAAAAGTTTTAGCCTGAAGGTATTTTATAGGTTTCCATTTTACCAATAAGGAATAAATCCCATTAGTCTGCTTCTGATCCCTACCTGGGGCTGCCACTTGTAGAGGAGTAGTGGGAACACTTCGGCCACCTGACTCTTCCTCATGAGCTAGGAAGAGGGGTGTTTCATACATTCCTAAACCTGAAGAAAAGTCTTAATATTAATGAATGACTAAAAGAACACAGAATTGTCAATATGTCAGGTATCTGAAAGAGAAACATTAATTAGTAGAGGCACACGACTTTGCTGAAGCTTACAATTTAACTGTTCAATGAAATGAAAATTCACGTCTCAAATTTTAAATACAATTTAAACCAATGCTTTAAATTACCCAACACTAAATAGAGCACCCCTAAAAAATCTGCTAAAATGTTCCTACTAGTTTCGTACAAGCTAACTTTATTAAATATCCAACTATGAACTAGATACTATGCTAATATCTATCCCTTACCAAAAACTGTAAGGTATTTATCATCTCTCTTTTGCTAACAAAACTGAAGTTCAAACATGTTGATTAACTCTCCCACAGAGAAAGTTAGTAAGCAGTGGCATTTCAGTTTAAGCCTAGATGTGATTTCCAAGTCTAGGAAATTATCCTAACATACAAAGTCACATAACACTTCAAATTTATAAAGTCAGCTTATAATTTCTTATTAGTAGAGCCCTCCAGTGTTAGAACTAACATCCTAAATGACTAAATATTATGTGACTTTTATAATGGCTGCTTTTGTCTTGAGCTTATTATTAAAATAATATACATTCTATTAAATATGTTCACTTATAAAATGTCAGAGAGCTTCCAGAAATATAGTGGGTTACATAAATTCCAACTGAAAATTAAGAGGTAATCAATTCCATACACAGTGTAATTGATAAGGCAGAAAACAAAGTACTTCCACTACTTAATTTAGGAGTCATTTTAGTCCATGTATTTTGAACACTTTTTTTTTTTGTAAATAGTGTTAAAAGAAAACATATGACTAGTCTTATACTTTTACCCAGGAATGTTATGTGTCAAAATGTAAACAGAAAACATACTGCAATCCTTTCAGCAGAAGAATGCTAGTAGCACCTGTGTATGTTTATCGGTTCAACAATACTTGACATTACTTAATATTGTTGAATACTTAATAGAAGTAAGACACTATTCTAGGAGTTGGAAGAGATGCAAACGTAAAAACTAGTCCCTATGCTCAAAGAAGTAACAACTTTGTTGGAAAGATAAGATTTATATGTAAAGCAATGCTTAATAAGTATATTAAATAGCTTTCTTCATAAATTAGCAAAGGGATTATTTAAGTATCAACTTTTAAAATATTTGTATTTGTACTTTGGTAAAAAGTTGAAATCATAATAGCTTATTATGGAATACATAAAAATCCAGGAAACATAAGGGTCTATTTAACTATTTACCTCCTTGAGAAGCAAGCTGACCAAGATCAGAATGACTAGAACTTGTTTGGGGCATGTCTTCAGGTGGCCCAAACCGGAATCTAGGAACACCAGCAACCTGAGGGGAACTAAATGGTAAATGGAAAAAATTAGTTTGAGATGAAATTGAAAGTTACTCCATTTAAATGATAATGGTGTAAAAAATACAGGAAGAATGAGCATTAATGAACTGGGAAGGAAAATGGTTGAAAATAAAGTCAATGAAGGGTTTCTTATAAAAAGACTCAAAAAAGCAGTCGTTAGTGAACTTTAAACTTGTCTCCATATAGTTATCCTCTAATGGAAGAACTGTGAGCTCTCTTGAACCAGTCCTCAAATTTCCTATCTGGAACAAAATCACTAGTAGCTCCCTGATATCTTAAAAATAAAATCCAAATTTCTTTACAAGGCACTTGGCTACCTGTTGACAAGGTCTCATTCTACTTTTTCAGTCTTTGTCAGATAATCAGACTAAATCTCAATATCTGAAATAAAAAAGGCAAAACTGAATTTATTGCTTTTTATAAAGAAAAAGCTATGTTAGGCACATTCTTTCCAAGACTACTACTATTCTTATATATGGTTATCAGGAAACGTGGTTCTGAGACTGGTGAAGCTTGTTTATTGGAGTGTCTTCTTAACTGCTGACTTTCAAAAGGCAAGAGCTGACATTACTGGCTGGCTTGCAGAGTGTGTTTGCTGAGATAGATTGTGGTTAATTGAACGCACTGAACGCATTTAAAACTGGTTCTGACTGCCATGTTACCATAGCTACAGAACAATTAACCTTTTTCCCAGGTTTGTGGAAACTTGTAAATTTTGATTTTCCAGTACATCCTGTTATGCAGATAACACTTCAGACACAATTAAACATGTGTATTTCCACATGGAAAGCCTTTTAATCTTCTAAGAGGAATGGTACAGCATAGCAGTGAACATAAATTCTAGAGCCAGATTGATTTGAAACCCAAAAACTCCTACTTCCTGGCTGTCTGATGTCTGCTAAATTAAAATTACCTATCATCTCTGTGCTTCAGTGTCCTTATATGCAAAATGGTACTGAAAATATTGTCTACCCTCAGTTATGAGGATTAAATAAGCTGATGAATAAAAATCCTCAATAAATGTTAGCTATTTTTTTCCAAGTCTGAATTAAATATTAAAGTCTTTTCAGATTTATTCCCCCAATTGCTGGAACAAATTACTTCTTTATTCGTATTAACAAAGCTTACTGCTATGCCTATAGTTTTCTTCCAGATTGCTGGTTGGTCATATGGCTGGTTACTTTCACAATACTATCCATTATGGTCACTGCAATTAGCAACACCTTGACCAATATATCATCTATTATGCATCGTTTAATATCCTGAACATGTTAACACAAATAAATTCACTTAATTCTCACAATGTATGAAGTAGGAACTAATGAATTATTATTCCCACTTTAAAAATGAGGATTCTCAGGAATGGAGAACCCAAGAAACTTGTTATTACTAGTAAGCAGTACAGCTAGGTTTTAAACACAGGCATTTGAACTCTAGAGACCATGGTCTTAACCACTGTTATATTGTCTTTAAATTTAAAATTCTTGATAGGGGCAACTGTGTTTGATTCACCTCTGTATAATTTTCCCCACTCTATATCCTCAACCCTCCTATCCCAAGTGCTTATTAGTACACAGTAGAGAAGGGATCAACAACTAATGAATCAATCAAATGATAAATTAACAGAGAAACAGTACTTGGCTAGGTACGAATTATGTTTCTATTTTATTAACTTACTGAATTGCTTCAGCAAATCCATCAGTACGATGTGGCACCACAAGAGTTGGGGTACTTGGAACTGTTCTGTCTTCATCATCAAAAAAATGCTGCTGCTAAAACAGAGATAGAAAACAGTAGCTGACAGGCACAATGTCACACATATGAACTATACACATATCTGCTGAACAAACAAATCACTTTTACATGATGAGTAAGTACTTACCATGCCACCTATTCCAGGAGTCAACTGAAGCCCACGTCCTACAGACTGCCTCCGGGACATCTGAATTCTCTGTGTCAAGAAAATAAGTACATTTGTCTTAAAGAATCAGGCAATAAAACAAATTATCAATTATCAACGGATATACTTATTTTGCTGGCAATAAAATTACTAAAATATTAGCAAATAAGTAATCGATAGGATGTTTTCAAGGACAAAATTATTCTTGTCCTAAAGAAATCAGTTTTAAACAGTGACAAATTTTTAATTATACAGACTATATTAACCAACAGCAAAACATTTTCCTAACCAACAGACAAAATGTTAACCAATATTTAAATTAAGATGAATTATGCTCTTTTTGTTATGCAAATGAATTTAATTCCCCATCTCCTTAATTGAAAATGTTAGCAAGAGCACCTTTGGATTTTAAGGCTTAACTGTCCTTTGGAGATCAAACAACAGAACCATCTTCTTATAAATTATTTCCCAATTAAGATAATCCTAAAACACATTTGTTATATTTGCAGTATCCTATACATGGTCCTTCAAGACTTGTTATATTCACATAATGAAGTTATCTTCACCAGTGGTATTTTAGTAGAATGTATACTTGAAAGTGTTTTTTAACACATTCCATTGAGGATAAAACTCAAGCTAGATTAATAGAAACTTTATACTTTTCTATTTCTGTAAGCATTTTTGATTACGAGATACCCAAACCTACTACATGCTAAATGTAAAGGGTCACGTATACTTTCCTTAATTTTGGAGTGGAAATATGTGATTACAAACAAATGAGAGAAAAAAGTTCTATTAAGTAGAATAGAAATCTCTTTATTTTTTAAAAATATGTGGTGCACCTTATAGAAAGAAACTTTCAAATCAGAAGGCAGCGAGCTACTAAAATACACTTTAATTAAAATCCGAGAAACACTTTTTCTTTTCTAACCTGTAGAAATAGCAACAGAATTTTATTTGCTGTGACTATAATTATTATATTTACATATATGACTATCATATTCAATTTTAGTAAGTCTTGCATTTCTCATGCTCATTATGTTTATGAAAGTTAAGTTAGTGTCATATTTCAAGAAAAAGAAATAAGAGACTAGTTTTAGTTTAAAAAATTTTATAAAACTATGCCAAAGCCTTAAAAAGTTCACTTAATTTCTGAGCAAAAGAAAAAGAGAACTAACTATCTGATGAAAACGGAAAAAAAGCCAAGATTTAAAAAAATTCATTTTTAGAAAGACCAGTAAGTACTTTTAATACCTGAACTGGTGGCCCCAACTCCTGAGGTGGAGCATGAATGGTCAGTCGTGGAGGAAGAGGGTGTGGTGGGCGTCTTGGTGACTGAGGGGCTCGAGGGGTCTGTCTTTCAGATGCTGATGATGGCTGCTGTTCTCTAGAGACCTCCTGGGAAAAAGAGGATTCTGTATTTCCTTCACCTACAGGAAAAGAAAAGCTTATTTTTGAACTCTTAAATTTACTACAAAATAACCTGGACAATTCCTAGAAGCATAAATCTTGCCATTAGCAACGTTAACCTCACTAATATTTCCAGAAGTAAAGTAGTAAGGTGTGGTGGGTTTTTGACTCAGAGATAACAGGGTCTGCACATAACCAGCTGTGTGGCCTTGAAGAAATCCCTTAACCTCTCTGACTCTAGTTTTGGTTGGTTAGTAGACTAAACGTAACTCTCAAGTTAGGGTTTTCGGAAGATTTCAAATAATCAACATAGAGCACTTAACAACACGTGACAAGTATTTAATAAATTTTATCTTACATCGATCTTAATAAAGTGGGCAAATAACCTAAAAGTCAGACTAGAGTAAAACAATCAAACAGGGTAAAGAAGTTTGAGAAAAAGCTTTACAACTATACTTTTATACATTTGGTTTACTAAATTTTGAAATTCAGCGGTCCCTTAAATGTCTGCATCAGCTTCTACACACATTATAGAAACAAAAACAGTTGTCTTCACTATGAAAAGCTGAATAGGGTATCATAGTATTTAATAGTTAAAAAGTCTTAAGGTTTAGAATCAGATCCTTGCTCTAAGATTTTAGTAGCTATTTGACCTTGGTTAAATTACTTCTTTGTGATTCAAGATTCTTCATTGGTACCTAAACGTGATTAAATTTGATTTAAGAATTAAATAATTGAATATAAGTAAAGAAAAGCAGTCAGAAACTTTTGGCAATGTAACAAATTCATCTACTAACTTAATTTTATTCAGACCGCACATGACCAGGCCTATTTTTGCTTGATTTCAAGAAAAAAAGAGAGAATAAAATGTCTCTCAGCATTTGGAAAAGCTGGCTATGCACAGTCACCCTTGATAGATTTAACTTTTAGTGATAATACCAGAAAAATATATTTTTCCCTCTAATACAACTACATGATACATACAAAATGTCTCTTAGTTTACAAAATATTCATAAAATATAAATGTATGTCAATTTCTCTCTCCTTTCCTCTTTTAAAAAGCATACTATTCTTTATTACATGGCTTAATATTCATTAATTTATTTTTCTCCTAAAACACTCTGAAAGTGTTGCTTTATCATTCAAATGGAATATATATCTTCTCCTTTTAAATATCTGGGCCCTATAGAAACCCAGACACAATGTTTTCCCACCCATTAACCTAAATATGTAACTTAATACATCACCACTCATGATTTTGGTTCAGTATTATCTGTAACATCATGAATATTATACCAGATGATCACTAATTCTCTAACATACATTTTGAAACAATGAAAATAAAATTATTTTCTATAATTTCCATAATCCTTTTATTCCTACAACTTTTAGCAAACCTCTAGGACTCTTTCTTTCAAAAATATAACAAAAGATATGTTATATTGATCAAAAAATCTTTTGTTCATTGGAAAACCAGATCACAATGCAAAGCTCCACTGTCCATAAACCTTAGTACGTGACAGTTGATTAGACTGACCTCTGGTGTTAGAAGTCCTTTAATGTCGTCCCTTACTTAGGCAAGCAGCACATGGCACTTAGAATGCTAGATTTCAAAATGTCTTTCTACCAGTGAGGTGGAATAGAGAGTAAAATGACAGCACCTGATATAATAGTATCCTAGCCTATAGTAAAGCACCGTAGTGACAAAGCTACAGTAAGAGTCAGTACCTTGTCAATTTACTAAATAAGATTTATACAGGGTAAATACAATTTTAGTTTAGAAAGTATTACCTGGTTGAGAAAATATTACTTAGTTTATAAATAGTCAATTTAAAAAAAGACTAGTATAAAACTCACCACTGTTCTGAGAATCAGCAGCTCTCTGATTACCTTCACCTCCACCCATGCTTTCTTCTGTTTCTGTACCTGGATCAGTTCCATCACCACCCTAAAAACCAAATGTGATAAGTAAATCGAACAGTTACCTTAAAAAACCAGACTAACTTAACTAAACCAAACCACAACAAAAACAAACAGAGGCATAGTAGGCTTTTCTATATTCGTGGAAAACAGCAAGTTCTCTAAGCAAAGTCTTAAAGAAAATGAATGGTAAAAATTCTAGCCAGTTACCTCAGCATCATCAGCTTCATATCCATCATTGCCATCTGCACTTCCAGTTCCTTCATTGCTATCTTCACCCTCGTCTCCCATCCCTGTGTCGTCGTCGTCATCATCATCTTCCTCATCTTCCTCATAATCCTAAAGTATAAATAACAAGTATAAAAAACAATCTAGAATATGGCCCACATGTGCTCCATACCTTGATAGCATACAAAGAAACTTAAGTGATTCATCAACGATCGTGAAATACTTGTCTTAAGAATTGTATGGAATCAGTTCAGCACCACCAAAAAATACAACCGTGATGCTTACAAGAATTAGTAAAATAATAAGCAATTTGAATTCTAACCATTCACATGAGATCATTCAAAGATTATTGCCCCTAGATGTCTGCAAAGTGTCAAGTGGTCGACTTTAAATAGGTCGCGTTAAAGAAGAAAATAATGAAATTACACTATACATTTTTTTTAAATGCTGCTTTATTAACCAAAAAGTACAAAACAAAAAGCTGTCGATATAGAATTAAATTCCAAAAGAAAATACAATGTATTTCAGTTAGAATATGCTTCCATGATGGTATCCTCAATTACTTCTGAGATAAATTGTGGGGCTCTAGGAGAAAAAAAAATCCACATTTCTTCTTTTTATTTCCAGAAACCATAATGTTTACAATTAAATTCATACAGTCACTTACAATAAGATTTAAGGTTAAGTTTAAATGAGAACAAATACTAAATGCTCAGCAAACATTAAAAAAAAAATTCTTAAAACTAGAACTTTCTAGCACTGGTTCTACATTCATTTTCATTCATTAAAAAAAATTCTTAAAACTAGAACTTTCTGGCACTGGTTCTACATTCATTTTCATTATACAATGTTAATATCTGAACTCATCAGGATATTAGTTCTATTTGAACTATTAGTTCAAAATCTACTTAAGCTGACTAGGAATCAGAATCCCAAGGATTGTACACTTTTATCTAATAGCTTAGAAACACCTGGATGATTTCAAATCAAATTTACCTCATGTTCTCCATCATTGTCATCATCATCCTCTTCCTCATCATCACTGTCAATTACAATGACATCATCGCCTTTGCCTTGACCATCCTGGGATGAAGTTGTTTGCTGGTCTGACTGAAGTGGTCCAAGATCTATTTGCAGAGACTGAGAGGTTTCTTCACTGTCTTCCATAGGTGTATAATCTCCCTGGGTGACTCCCTTTAAAAATAAAAAGTCAAAGATTGGAAAAAAACACACACAAAAAACCAAACCTAAAACTATCAGTGAGCTATCAAACAGATAACTGTAAAGACTAAAGAATGCTTATGAACTAGAAGCAGTTTTAAAAATATGATTTTAAAGTGGAATTAATTTGAAATGCTAGTTAAAGAAGATGAAACTTTGAGTTTCTTTACTGTCTTCCTTTAGAAGAACTATTATAAATCTTACTGGGTAATAAGGAGGAAAAAATTATACAAATACATGCATGATCAAAACTACAGTGTAGCATTAATGTACACAGCTATCATTTAATAAAACAAACAAAAATACTACAGTGTTATGTTGTCGATCAGTGCTGTCCAAAAGAAATATGTGAGCTGTAATGTGTGCAAAATAGAATTTTAAATTTTCTAGTAGTCACTTTAAAAAAGGAAAATAAATATGTGAAATGAATTTTAATCATTACCAAAATTATGTAAAACTTCATTTCAACATGTAATCACTTTATAAATTATTAAGCAGATATTTTACACATTTTAAAACTTACAAGTCTTCAAAGTCTGATGTGTATGCTACTCTTATCTCAGTTTGGATTAGCCTTATTTCAAGCGGTCAGTAACCAACGTGATTGATTAACAGTGTAAACAGTAGAAGGAAGTCAGAAAAAGGATATATATGGGCCTGCAATATCTTCTTAAAAAAATTTCCCCTAAACTAGAAATAATCTGGAAATTCACTGAGTAAAACAGATACTATTATCATTTGAAAAAGAAAACTGTCCCCTGAACTGATTATCCTAAACCTTCAAAACACAATGATATGAGATACTAAAATAATTCCTTGTTGAATCTACTTACACAATTCTATTTTGTTTAACTCTATTTCTAATATTTACTATAAAAAATTAAATGTCTACTTTTTGACTTATACACTCAGTAATGCATCATATCTTTTTTATATGCTAGCAACAATGTCATTTGAACTAAAACATTCACAAAAAATAATGTAGAGCATAATGGAAAAAATGAGTAAGTAATAGTATAATTAAAAATGTGTCTTACAGTGACATGCTTATTTCAGGAAAAGCAACACTTTACAAAAAACATCTGCTTTGTTGTTACAAAATCAGAAAAATGACCTATTATATATTCAATAGACAGTGCTAGAGGGGTGGAAGAAGAAGTTGAAGTTAAATGGTACTTGTTTTTTTTTTTTAAAAAGACACAGTCACAATTCTTGCCCAGGCCAGAGTACTGTGGCCTCAGCCTAGCTCACAGCAATCTCAAACAACTGGGCACAAGCAATCCTCCTGCCTTAGCCTCCCAAGTAGCTGGGATTACTGGTGCCTGCCATGAGGCCCAGCTAATTTTCTTTTCTACTTTTAGTAGAGATGGGGCCTTGCTCTTGCTCAGGCTGGTCTTGAACTCCTGAGCTTAAGCAATCTTCCTGCCTTGACCTTCTAAAGTCCTAGGATTACAGGCATGAGCCACTGCACCCGCCTAAAAAGGTTTTCATAGATATATTTTAGCATAATTTAACCAAGTCTGAGAATAGAGAGTCACATCTTATTATTTCAAATTGTTTTTATGTTCTTTCTCTGAAAGATAAATGGAGCAGATGAGGGTGAGTATACCTTTTCTGAAATGCTTAGGTATACTCAATGCGGAAGTGTTTAGAATTTTGAATCTTTTTGTATTTTGGAATATCTGCATATAGATAATGAGATATATTTGGGATAAGACCCAAGTCTAAACATGAAATTCATTTATGTTGCATAGATACCTTAAACACACAGCTTGAAGGTAATTATATATAATATTTTAACAGTTTTGTGAATGAAGCAAAGTTTTGACTGTGACCTGTCACATGAGGTAAAGGTATGGAATATTCCACGTTGACTTTCACGCTGGCACTCAGTTTTGGATTTTAGAGCATTGTGAATTTTGTATTTTCAAACTAGATATCCAACCTGTACTATGCATTCAGTTACTAGTTTAGTTCTGTGTTTTTAGTCAAGAAAAGCTGGTAAAATTAACTTACAGAATAAAAGTATCTAAGAAACTAAAATTTACTTGCAATTTATGTTACTTAAGATTAGTGTGGGACAATTCTGTAAGATATAAAAAGATCCTAAAAGTTTATCCAGAGATAAAGAATTGTTTCAAGCTTAAGAGGTCAGGTGAAAACAATATAGCTTGGGTTCAAATCCTAGCTCTAATGCTGTTTGAACTTGAGTAGATAACTCACCTAGGTATCAGTTTCTTCATTTATAAAGCAGGTTTATGAGGATCAAATTATTTAATAAATGCAATTATAATTATTGTTATTTTTTTGGACAGGGTCTTGGTGCAGTGGCATCATCATAGCTCAATGCAACCTAAAATTCCTGGGCTCAAGTGATCCTCCTGAGTCAGGCTCCTAAGAATCTGGGATAACAAATGTGAGTAACCATGCCTGGCTAATTTTTCCCTTTCTTTTTTGCAGAGATGGGATCTTGCTCCTGTTCGAGCTAATCTCAATCTAATGGCCTCAGGTATCTTCCCACCTTGGCCTCCCAAAGTGAATAAATGCAAATTTCATACATCAACACTTGACATATGGTAATGAGTTCTGTGTTAAGTATTACTTAATGGTTAACTACTAATATTATTATATACATATATAAATTCTCATTTTTTGGAGCAGAGGAACAGAAGGAAAGTAATAGTGTTTTGAGTGCCTAGTATGTGGGCAGGTTTTAGGTACTTCACAATCTTAAAAATTTTGCTTTGTTGTAAAGTGAGACAACTGAGAGAATTAATAACATGAGTATAGTCTCAGAGCTTCTAAGTGGAGAAGCTAGGAATGGAACCTAGTGTCTTGTAACTTCAGTCTATCTTCTTTCTACCAGTGAAGCTGCTCTAGGGAAAACTCAATGAGACTCCAGAAAATGAAGTATACAAACGCATTTCCTTTCATGGATTATTTAATTCTGTAAAGCAAACAATAAAGAACCTCACAAGTGAGGCAAGACTCAATCAACACTCTCATCTATCCACATACTTAAAATAGTGGATAATCTTTACTCACAACCACCCTGGAAAATCAGGAACTCTGCACTGCATCTAAACAAAAACATTTCTTTAATGTAAGTTTAGAAGGTACTATACTCACAGGAGTAAAATAAGTAGAAAGAGCACTGCTTAATTCCAGTAATATTTTATTAAATATGAGAACAAGTTAAAAAAATTCCAAAAATGTTTTAATTTGTCAATGTTAATTTCAATCATTAAAAGCAACCATTCATTACTTTTAATTTTTCCCTTTACTTACTTCTCCAATGGAATCTTGAGAATCTTGGTTGTATGCTTGAGTCTCTACCTCTCCATCAGTACTTTCTTCTGCCATAACTTCTTCCTGAATCATAAAATGCAGGTATATTAAATGTATCAGGAGCACTAGATGAAGGGTTATCTGTTCTGTTTGCTCTCTTGATTAAGAAAACCTCAAATCTACAGTTTTAAAACTATATAAGATAAAAATCCACTTACTTTATTTATAAAATATAATCACATTCCTTTTCCGTATATATAAAATAAGACTTATAAACATCAATATATACAAAAGAAACTAAAGTAGCCTTTATGTTTGATATAAAACCTAATTCATTATAATTTAGTCCTAACAACAACAAAAAAATAAAAGAATATAATTTTGGTTAATTTTACAAAAGAAGACAGATAACAAAATGCCCATGAGACTTATAAGCTTAAAAATCTTTGAAATGGAATTCAACTTACATGTTTGTAATTACTTTTACTGAAATGGTAACAAATTCGAATGAAGATATGCAAAGAATATAAAATACCATGGGTATTGTCACATAGGCTGACAGTAGAAACTTTATATATAAAGTTCAAAAGAGTGTTTTCCAGATAATGCATTTTTGCTCCAAAGGTTATTTTTATAAGGCTATAACTGAAAATACCTTAGACTTCCTGGTAAAAATAAAAATAAACAAAATGAACTTTGCACACCTCAGTTCCTACAGGTGTAACACTTTTCAACTTCTTAGGAAGAGGCATTTCCACTGTGTCATCAGAGACTTGGTCTGATGCTTCTATGGTGCTATCCTCTTCTTCTTCACGTGTACGCTTTGGCAAAGAAGAACTTGGGGTAGCTGAAACTTTTAAATCACATAGTTTAAATTTTGAAATCAGAGCATAATAACTCAATTTAAACAACAGTAATTTAGTCAATGGTCACGTACCCAAAGAAAGACACAGTAAACATTTAATTGTACAAATTAAAATATAATCAATTAAGTCCTAGATATATGTCTATCAACATAATTTGTTTCTGTTAAATCTGTGGATAAACAAAAAGCAACTTACACTCTAAATCAATGTTTTTACACTAGTCTATCCTTTGGTTAATAAAGACCCCTAACTCCTGCAACATCTGATTGAATGAAATTATACTGATACATAATTGGCATTTACAAAGTTTACAAAGAGGTCTTTTATTAAACCCAGGTGTCCTTGGATGAAAAAATTTACACTGTATGTAAATCAGTATGTGGTTTTATCTCTGGTGTCTTTTAGTCCTCAGGACCTGTATTAAGATATATATATATATAATATGTTTTTGGTTGTTTCATCTTTAAAAACAGTCAAAGAATAGCTGGAAGGGAAGAAAGGTCTTCATGACAAAAACAACTTATTTAAAAAATAGCCAAATTCAAAAGTAAACATAAAATGAAATGTTAGGAACGTACTCGTTCATTTTAATATCTGGAGGAAAGAAAGCAAGTAGGTACAAAGAATACTCAAGATATGTAAGAGATCATAAATGTATAGTTCTACTCTAACTTCATTTTAAAATTAAACTTACCAGTGCCAAATACTGCTGTGGAAGTAGAAGGCCGTTCAACTGGAGAACTCTGAACAACCTCTAGTATGTTTGGTGATAACTCTTGATTGGCAGGCTCAATCTGAGCATGAGTCTGTTGAGTGGGTTGCACAAAAGCTGTAGCCTGTATTTGCTGCTGAACAGTTAGAATGGGTTGAGAGAGCGAAGGCTGGACGTTAGGGCTAGTTGACCGAACAGATCCACTTGTGCTTCCAAAAACCGGAACATGTTCCACGGGTCCTTCTGACTGCATAGCTGAAAAATAATTATAATGTTTAATATAAGTCTTCCACTCTTACCAAAGCTGGAATCATCCTTCCTTATTGTGGTACATGTCACATTTTTCATAATATTGCATAATTATTCTCTTGCTAACTTATTAGACAGAAGCATTGTGGGTAAAGGTATTATGGATTTTTGTACTACCTATGGGATTGATAATGATAGCGTACAATAAATTACTGGCTGAATTAAAAAAATTAATATCTGCAACTGCTTCTGCATTATTTCATTTAAAGTATTATCAAATAAAATTAAAAAGCTCAAAGTCAAATTAGAAGTTTTCATTCAGCATTTTTTCTACTTGACATTATAACATAGTAAGCTGAATTGTTAATGTATTTGTTAATCATTTTGTTGGATCACGTTGAGATAAAATTCTGTACTTAGATAACGTACACATAAATCATATTTCTAAATACTTGAATAATTCACTGAGTTCTAATATACATATCAAAATAAGACTCAAGTAAATATGCCCGTAGCAAAATTTTGCTAAACACCTTATCTTTTGGGATGAATAAAAATATTAAATAATATAACATAAGATAAGATTCTTGTCCTGGGGGAGCTCAATCTAGTGGCGTTGTAAAAAGGCATGTATATAAGAGAATAATTAACTGTAATTGCTTTAATGAGTAACAAGTAACTATAATTGCTTTAATAAGAAAAACATGGAGAAGCAATGAAAAGGCCAGATAATTTCAGTGAGAAAGCAATGTTGGGCCGAGCCAGTAATTTAATAGTTTTTTAGAGTGGATTTCATATCATCTTTCTTAGTCATTAGAATCGAAAATTTTGGTCTTAGAAAAACATACAATATATTGATAGGGACGTATTTCCCCTTTCTTTAGCTTAAAAATAAAGCAAAGCAGAAAGGGCAGGAAAAGCAGATCTGCATTAACAAGTGTCCTGGGAAGTTATACACTTCAAATCCTAAATACCCACCTTCACAATAATATCTGACTGCAGCTTTAGTGAATGGTTCATTTACCCTTGAAGTTACTTTCATCTTCCCATAATAAATCTAAAGAAAGCAGTTAGTTCTATCAGATCAGTATCATTTTACTAACCTTCTTGTAATTCCACTTGTGTGGGCATCACTGTAGCTGTTGGGGTAGTAGTGGGATTTGTTACAGTTGCAGGTGTAACCATTGGGCGGATACTAGCCCTGGGCGTTGGTTTATTTCCAGCCATAGCTGCAGCTGTCACTTTACTTGGAGTAGAAACAACAGGAGTTGGCTTGATGTTGGCTGTTGGTGGGTCTGATGTGCTGGCACTTATAAAGGAGCAAATGCAAGAATAATGTATCATAAAAACTTATCAGACAGATTTAAAACAAATACTTTTAGAAAGACAGTGAGTACAGTTCTCTACTACTTGTTTGCTAACTATTTCAAAGCTCTTATTGAGGAAGTTTTGAATTTAAGCATTAAACAGAACACCACTCTGGAGTGATGCATCCTGAAAATGTAGACTTTAACTACTGAATGGCTGAATTCAAGTCTCAGCCCGGGCTTCTGTATTTGTCATATGACACATCTGTCATATGACGGGGAAAATCAGTAGTAGACTAACTTAGAAGCCAATCACCAACTGAAAGATGAGATGTTTTCTCTGTTATAAAGCTGTACTTGGCAAGACTGAAAAGTATACTAAAAAACAAGAGTTAGCAACTATATGGTGGTTTTGAAGAGATAAATATGTTCTTATAAAAGAATATATAGACTTCTGTTTTCTCCCCAAAGATCACTAAAAAGTCCTTGGAATTTAAAAGAAAAACACTAAGACTATAAGAGAAATAAAACTTACATTCCTCTTTCACCAGAAGCTGGAGTTGTTTTCAGGGTGATCTGTCTCTGCTGTTCTGGAACCTATAAACAGAAAAAGATTGATTTTTGTGCCTATCCCCCAAGACTTCATCAAGCACAGTCATCAAAATATTTTTTATTGTTAATTTTCACTGTATACTCTAAATTTAGCCAAAATTCACTCTAACAAAGGCTCCTAAATCACCAGGTACTTTCAAGTAACATGTATATAAAAAAGAAAAGAAAAGAAAAGAAAAATATTTTTCACTTAAAAAGAACTAGCTCATCACCTTATTAGAAGGTTCCTGAGGCTCATCTCTCTGTTCAAGGTGTCTCTCTTGGTGCTCCCTGAGTTCTCTTTCCAAACGACTAATTCGACCTTCATATTGGGACTTAAGAGCAGTCATTCGAACATCCAGTTCATCTTTCTGTTGATCTAAGGCTCCATTCCTTTGCTTAAGCTCTTCGTTTTCTTTAGTTAGTTGATCTTTTACACCTAAAGAAGTACCCATGTGATTATTCAAATTTATAATCGAACACTGAAAAGAGTATGTGCTAATTTGGTACTCAATGATATCAGATTCTACTACTGTACTTTTAACATCTATATTAAGTTTTGACACATTACATATCTCAATAAGCAAAGTTCTAAATACATCCAATGTTTATTACTCTAATATAAAATATGTGTATTCTAACTCAAACATGTAACTTTTCCTAACTGAAATATCAAAAAGCTAAAGAATTCCAGGTAGCAGATATCTTTAATGGGAACTTTAATATTTTAAAGTATTCTTCAATTCTGTATTATTAGTTGCAAAATTTCATTTCACGTAATCTATAATACATTTTTAACTCATAACTTCTTTAATAAAATAAGATGCTGGGACACTATCTTGAAGATCATTAAAATAATTCTTAAAATAAAACCCAACTGTCTGACATTTTATTTATTCAGCAGACTAGCAGGCAAGGGTGAATAAGGCAGTGAACCTTGTAGCATCTGGCTCCCAGTCAATCTGATGTGGTACTTTCCCTAAAAAGCTAGAAGGTCCCTCTGTCAAATTAGGCACAAAAAAAATCCGTGGGCTGGAAAGATCCAATACTGTCTAGTCATGGTACCCGGGCAACACAGTCTGGGCCCAAATGATCTCTGTCACAAGGAAGAACTGTTAAACGCTAAAGCAGAAGGATAGTAGTACTCCATTATCTACTACCAGTCAACAATTAAGAACAACTTCATAAACTCATCAAAGACATCCTCATTATGCTTGAAAATTAAAACTGTTCTGCTTGTGTCTGACTAAATATACCTGATGTCTAAAGTACAAACACAAAAAATCACTTGCAGTATACACTTTTCTTCTTTCCCATTAAATTTTAAGCCTATATCACACAACCAACTTTTGCTACCAAATTCAAATTTTAATCAGAGATTTACCAGCTAAGTGTGCAATTTTTGATTTTGCTGCTACAATAGCCTTTCGTGTTTTTTCTTCCTTTTCAGTTATCTGCTGCCGGAGCTGCTCCTCCTGTGTGGTTCTATCCTGAAGATCCTGACGAAGCCTTGCAAGTTCGGACTGAAGTTGCATAGTCTGTTCTTGAAAATTTCTTGCTTCTATCTCTTTTTCAGACAATGTCTTTTAAAGGGAAACAAAGTATTCACTATAGAATTCAATCAAATAAATATAAACTATATGTCATATTAACTTAAAATCTAACATTAAGGAAGTATAAATATAAAAAGGTCAAACCAACTAAGTGGACACTTGAAGATAATTAGATACTATTTGCATATGTGAATCATTCAAAAAGAATAAAATGTATAAGGTGGAAGTGGCTAACACATATTTCTTCAGGTGTACAACAAGGAAATTAGGGACATACACCTTTTACTATTCTCACACACACACACCTTCTGCAGATTCTCTACTTGACTCTCAAGTGATTTTGACTTTGTTTCAGCTTGGTTGAGGGTTTCTTTGAGCTCCTGCATTTCCTGGACTGAGACATGCTGCTCCTGATGGTCTCCAGAAGACTGAGCAGACGTCTCCATGGCCTAAGATGACAAGTAGTAATAATACACTTATGTCTGGTAACTCAACTTCTACAAGTTTATCTAAGGAAATAATCATAGTTATGTACATAAATTTTATCTTAGAGGGCATACAAAAATGAATTTTTTATAAAACAACCCTAATGTCCAAAAATAGAACTTAGTTAAGTAAACTACGGTTTCTATACAAGTGGATACTAAACAACTAATCAAAATGCTGATGCACTGTATATGACTTTTTGACTCAGATACATATTTTTACAATAATAAGTGAAAAAGCAAGATCACAAAGAACACAGGTAAATGATGTAATTTCTTTGGGAAAACATATTACTTTCATGTGCAGAAAAGTATACTAATGTTCTAACAGTGATTAACACTGAGGGGTTAGAATTTTAGAATTTTGCTTTATATATTTTCTGATCCAACATAAGATAGATATATATAACTAATTGAACATACAAGTTCTTGTCTTTGAGAATTAAAAACTTAGATTCAAACTATAATGAAGATTTTTGGATTCTTTAATAGTATTTAACAAACAACTTACTTTTAAGTGCATTGATATACACAATTTTAATTAGCAATGACTTACGATGTAGCTTTAAAAATAGATAGTATTTAAAGTGTGAAAACAGAACTAAAATATCTAGCATTTACCAAAATTTGCACTTCAGACAAAATAAAGACCAATCTTAAACCACATAATGATACCATATACACTTATATGAGTTTAGAAAAAGTTAGTAATATTCAAGATGACAAAGAAATAAGATTTTTTAAAGATCCATTCTTTTTTTTTTTTTTTTTTTAAGAAAAGCTTTTCCAAATACCTTATCTTGTTGGGCCTTTAGTTCTTCATATTGCGTCTTGTACCTACGTCCAATTTTCTTGACTTGAGTAATAGTTTTGACTTTTTCTTGGATATCAATTATTTTGGCATCTAAGTCCTTCTGGATATTTTCCTTTTCAGTTCTTACTTTATTTAAATCTTCCTTTAGACTCTGAATTAAGTTCTGGTTGTTGGTCAAAGATGCATTTGCTCTTTAAAAAATAAAGCAAAGCACAAAGACTAAATACACGAGATATTTTTCATATTTAAGTACTTCAAGTTTATTTTGTGCCATTTCAGTAATTTTTTATTTAAAAATCCTAAAAAAACCACACAAACTTCAAAAGATAATAACTTATGGATTTATGGTCCTTTGGAAAGACCTTATTACATAGGCTTATGTGCCTATTTCAGACGTTAAGAAAAAGTGAGCTATTTTATTGGTCAAGTAATATGCACAATTTTACAGCATAATAAAGTGATAATATCTAGACTTTAATTCAGATTTGCTTGATAGCAAACCCACTTTCTTTCTACTGTATCAGGTGTTGTAATCCTTCCCTGTAAAGGGCCAAATAGAGTAAATGAATTAGGCTTTGCAAGCCACATGAAGTCTTTGTAGCATGTTCTTTTTTTTTCAAACAATGCTTTAAAAATGTAAAAATCATTCTTAGCTTATAGGCTATTATAAACACATAACAGGCAAGATTTGGCCTCTTCGTGGGCTACAGTGTGCCAACCCCTGTACTATACGATAAACTGAACTTGCCATCAGATGACCTGAATTTAGAGAATGGGTTTAATTCTGCAACTTCAGCTAGCTTAGCTTCTTCATCTCTAGGATTAAAATATAGTATCTCGCCTAATTAACATACAAGATAACTGTTATAAATAAGAGTATATATGATAAAAATTTATTAAGCTGTGAAGCACTGACATTAAGTAGGGGACATGACATTGATAAATTATACTAAAGCTTAAAAAATATTAACAGTGAAATGAAGCATAATATAATATCATAGTTTGCCTGACTCCACAGAGAACCAGAGGAAAACCAGATATAGCAGCTCTAATGCTTTCCATTCTTTCTAAAGTTGGAGAGCACTGGGGGAGTCATATAAAGAGAAGAAAAATTTCAAGTATTATATATGATTTAAGGTTTCTTTCCATATACCTTGCAATTTCAGCTTTAAGCCTTCCAACTTCTTCAGTCAACTGCTGAATACGCTTAGTATGAACTTCTTTTTCAGAAAGTAGCTTCCGATATTCTTCTGTATCTGGATCTTTCTGTTGACTTAGTAGATGCTAGAAGAGTAAAAATGCTCATTTGGTTTTTTAGGTTTTATGAAACAAATGTGCTATAATAAAGTGGCAGAACAACTATGTTTACACTAGGTGTCCTGCGTGTGAAGTGATCAAGCATAGAACTGTACAATACTAAGATCTAACTAGGCTTTAGTTTAGCCAAAATGGAAGAGGGGGAAAAAATTCAAATGTTATTAACTGTTCATTATATTGTCATATTTGTGAATATACATTTCAGATCATTTATAATGAAGCCAAATAAAGGGATGCAAAAAATCTTAAAAACTTTTAAGTGCATAATTTCATTAAAGTGATTATTTATAAGGAAAAACGTACATATAACGTATTACAATCTAAACAAATATGAGCATTTTCTAGATGCTAGGTGCTAGGAGAACTTCATGTTTATTTAATTACTGTCACATGAAGAGAAGAGTGTTACTATTTTCTCATTTTACAAATGAGGAAAACTATACCTCAGAGAGGTTAAGAAACTCTCACAGAGTTATATGATTAGTATATACAAGGCAGATTTTCAACCTCCCGGTTAAATATTGAGCTGGAGTTTCTAACCACACTATGCTGTACAATTCCACCTCTTTAAAGAACACCAGTGAACAAGTCTTCTTAAAGTGCTTTAATAAAATATAAATTCCCATGTTCACGTATGAAAGTATCTCAGAAAAAAAGTAAAGCCAAAACTTTAGGATTGTGGGAAATAAATTAACTGCTTTTCAAAAATATAACCAAACATTGTTTAAAAATTGAGTTTTGAGTTTAACATCTGTTATATATACACATGAACATATTGGATTTTCACTGATTAAAACTCAAAAATCTTCACTAGTTCTTCAAATATTTTTATCCTCCTACATTTTACCCTATTAGTTAAAACAACATGTTTCCATGTCTAGGGATAAGTGTCAACTGCATTTACCTGGTTACGTGCTTTCCAGCGTTTAACGTCCTCTTCTAATAATTTCTTCTCTGCCTGCAACATCCCACTTTTCTCACTCAGCTCAGCATTCGCTTCTTGTAAAGGCAGAATATCTAACTCCAGTTTTCTCACCTGAAAATATCACCAATATATTTTTTAAAAACTAATGTAAAAACTCATTTATATTAAAATAACATGCCTCAAAAAAAATATAAAGATAAATAAAAATAACGTGCCTCCATGTTGATTACTAATCTACAAACCTTTGCTTGCATCTGCTGTAGATCCTGTTCCAGTCTTTCCTTTTCTTCCCTTAGCATCTTATTGGTCTCCATAACGACATTCATTGTTTCTGTTTTCTTCATCAGTTCTTCATGCTGAGCCATTGTTTTTGCAGTCACCTAAACATTTCAAACACAACACATCGTTAACAATAGCTAAAAGGCTACCTTTTCCTATTAGTTCTAATTCTCAATAGAACAGAATAGAATTTAAACTTTTTTGTTTTTCTTTTTTTAGGCAGGGTCTCACTCTCTTGCCCCAGGCTACAGTTTTCTAGTCTCTGCCAAACTCACTGGGGTTTGAGTGCTCTTGCAGCCTCAACCTCCTAAGGAGCTGGATGACAGACTAAATTTCAACTTTTAAAACTGAAATTTTGGAAAGTTTGCATTTTTCTGTAATGCACGTTAAATACGGAGTTTAAACAAATGTAAACAATTATAAAAGATAACAGTAGAAGACAATAAAACACCCATCAGCAAATAGCTGAATTCTTTTTCTGCTCATTAAGTATAATTATCCTTTTCTGCATATATTACCTTCTTCCCCTGCTACTTTTAAACCTATAGCACATTGCCATGCTACACTGCTCATACTTGGACAGATTTTATTTTTGATGTTGTATGTGGGTTACTTCTTGATGGTTTCCCTCCTACATTTACCTAAGAGCTCATTTTCCCCTCTAACTTGTTCATGGGCTGGGTATTTTACTTTTCTATAGCTCAAAGGAATAGCAAAAGGAGCAGAAGATACTAAGACATTATGCTGTCCTCCTTGGAAACCCTCAATCTCTCTTTTTTCCCTTCAAGTATTAACTCCACTGAATTGGAGAGCTATTTACTGTTATTTCCATGGTTGTACATTTGAATTTGGATAGTTTTCTCAATAGGATGTAATTCTGAAACCTTTAACTTCTGATAAAAACATAAATCCCATTAAGTCTAATTAGTCACTTTTCCCTGTTCAATGGTTTCTCCTCAGCAGTCATTTTGGCTATGTATTATTAAAAGAAGGTAAAAAAATATTTTAAGGTCCTAATTTCCTTCCTTCTAGATGTGGGAGTATATTACTGCATCTTTTCAAAATAAGGTAACTCAACAATATGCTCTGAGGTGCTAATAATGGAGTAAAGTCAACCTTGTGCTATAACCACCTGTTTCACTACATACCATTTTTACTTCTTTTGGTTGTTAGTTTTAACCATTTTTTTGCTCCTTTGACAAAAAAATATTTGGTAGCAGTTTCAATTTATCATTGTATTCTGGAATGACTATCCGGATGTATACACAATGACAACTATAATCAATTGAGAAACCTGGAATTTAGTAAGTACATACTATAAACCAGTCATGGTTCCAAATGCACCATGTGCACAAATTCCCTAAATCTCCATTATTATTATCCAAATATTACACGTGAGGAAACTAACAGTGGGGAAGTCAAACAGTGCTCCCAAGACCACACAGTTAATGGCACAAAGCTAGAATTTGAAAACAGGCATTTGGTTACACAGCCGTCACACTTTCCAACTATACTGCATCTGTAGTTAACAAACATTTAATGAATTTACAAGTTCTAGGAAGAACATTTACTTCAAAGTAAACTTTATGCTATGTTAAATGTTACAAATATAAATGAGCTATTCTCTTACGATTTAACAATTGCTTTCTTAAAGCAATACATACCTGGACTTTCTCCCTTTCAGCATTTAGACTATCTTGCAGTTCTTGTAGCTCTCTTTCTAAAAGTTCAACCCTTTGTCGGTAACGTAGACTCTCAACCTGAGCCACCTCAAACCTAGTTTCAGCAATTTCTTTTTCTCTTCGTATAAATCTATGAGAATATATTTGTTAAAATTTTATTTAAATGAAGAAGACAGTATTTTAAAACCTGAGTAATTTTTGAGATGACAAGTTATTCAAAGAGCTATTTTCACTAATAATAAATGAGAGACACTTTTTTTTTTTTTTAACAGACACTGGCTTTAAAATTTAATGTGTATCTTTAAAATAACCTGAAAGGCACTGAGATTTCAAGAGGAATCTGCTCAAATTCTTACTGTCAGAGTCAATTTTGAAGTTATTTATTTAACATTTCTTTATGTTAAAAGTGACCACTAACTCAGTGGTTGTGCGTGTGTAGGGCAATAAAAGACAGAATGAGCTTCATATCAGAAGTGTGTACATCCCTTTTCTACTACACGCATTTGTAGTTTCATTTCATGGTTGTTATGCTACAGAAATGGAGCATGAAAAACATTTTTGGTTTACCTGAGAATTTCTAAGATTTGTTCTTGAGATTTTCCTTCTTCACTGAGAGATACATTCAATGGACCTTGTACACCTTCCTTTATAGAGGCAACTACTTTGTCACTTAATTTTTCAATCTGATCATGAAGTAATCTGTTTTGTTTCTCCAGATCTTCACAGCGAGAAATACACTTAGAAACTTCATCCTATAAGCCAAGAGGTCTATTGTAATAAATTTTCCAATACACATTTAAAAAAAACAAACCAAAAAAAACAAGAGAGAAAACTCTTTCAATTCTCCAAAACATTCTATTATAATCTATAATAATACCTTCAACATTCTCTCTCTTTCCTCCCAAGATGCTTTACACTCTAACAACTGTGATTCTGCTTTCTGGGTTGTTTCTTCCAAATGGTGACGCACTGATGCCATTTTTGAAACCTGTTCCTTGGCAGCTTGTAGAGCTTCAACATCAGCTGCATGCAACATCAATTCCCTTTCATATTTATTCTGAGCTTCCACAGCTATTTTAGCCTGCAAGAAATTATTCCCACAATGACACCAGAGATTAAAAATCTGTAAGGCTAATCAGCTGAACTTTGGGAAAAAATACACATTGTGTTTTTTAAAATAGAGACAATCTAAATGTAGCAAACAGGAGAATTAAAAGTTAATGCTATATTGACTTAATGAAATATTAACAAACTTTTAACAATGAAACTTAGAAGACTGTGTAGCAATTTGGAATAAACTTTATGAAATAGAAAGTTAAATATAACTCAGCTATGTAACATACGCCCATAGCACAAACTCTAAAAGAATGAAATGAAAATCAGAAAATCATTTATTTGCATATTGAATTATAGATAAATAATTTGATTTTGATTTCAAATATTATTCTGGATTTGGCAATAAGGCAAGGATAATTCATTTTTATCTAATTTACTTCTGAAGCCTCTTTTCCCTGTATTCCATTTTTAAAGTTATACGGTTGTATATATGTTACTGTACATAAACAAACAAATGAACAGCTACGGATATATCACCAAACTTAAAAATAAGTACACTGCCAATAACCTTACATGTATACTTTTCCCATTCCACAGCTTGAGTTGTGTTTTCTTAAAAGTTATAAAGTTCTGTCACATGTATATGCTTGTACATATACTTAAAATAATGAGATGTTGCTTTTATACTTTTATAAAAAGAAGTACAGAAATTTGTGCAAGCTCAACAATGTATTAACAATGTTATCTGGAAGTCCTTGTGTGTTGAGGGAAGATACCTCTAACCAATTTGTTTGTAATGCAATTTTACAACCAAATCTAGTAAAAGACCAAAATAGTAAGAGAATGTTCAAAATGTAATCACGTACACATTTTAGTTTACTACTCCTGTTTTTCCATGTTTTCCCATTTGCCAAAATTGCTTTTCAATGAATCTGCATGCACTTTTTGCCACTAGCCTTCAATTAATCTTAGTTCATGTTCTTCAATGTGGAAATAATTTACATTTTTATAAGCTCTACCAGTCCCTCAAATGGATAAATGTACTCCAAGAACCATTCTCTAGGATCGAAGTTCATTCCTTAAGAACAAGTTATGAAAGCAATACTTACTTGCTCCTGACAGTCACGTCTGGCTTGCTGTTCATTACTTAAAGCTGTGCTTGCTCTCTGAAGAGCCTCTTGTACTTCATTTTGAACACTAGAGAGTGTTTTCTTCAACTCAGATAACTAAGGAGGAAAAAGATTAAACCATAGTTAACTACTGCAAACTTACTTGGAATATACTGTATTCTATTACTGCACTGAAGGACATATTTTAAAGATCCAATTAACCCAGAGGACTGCTGGTAAATTTAAAAGTTATATATGTGGTCAGTAAATTACTGTTGAAATGATCTGAATGGTGACTAATGTGCTAGTTAAAAGAATTCAAAGCCTTATAAGAAAAAACAGATTAACATGGTAATAACCCAATATACCTGTTGTTCCATGCTCTCTATGGCTTTTCGCTTATCATCTTGAAGTTCTTGTTTTTCCTTCTCTACTTCCATCAACTTCTTTTCCAACTGTGTCTGAAACTCAGCTGACTCTTTTAAACGAACTTCAATATTCTTATGTACTTCTTCCGTCACCTTAACCATAATACAAAAGTAGGATACAGAAATTATTCTGGTTTCTAGAAATTATATGGTTACTTTCTCCAAATTTAAACTAATGATATTTGCCTTACATTCAAAAATAAGCAAAACTACCATGTAGATCTATAAGCATAATTTACTTCTCAACTTGGCTACTGGCCACTTTTCCCTTTTGAAGGGAAATTTCCAATTTCTCCCTTCTCTCTCCTCACATTCTCTTGCCAAATCTGCCTACTCTACCTCTGAAAGCTATGTTCCTCACATTTTCTTTCCACTGATGCCGACCACAAAAGGAGCTTTTCAAACTGTGGCCCTGCTATAGCCTCCAATGTATCCTCCCATCTACCACATTAATTTTCTAAGCAAACCCCCCCTCCCAAAAACAAAAAAAACCTGGTTATGACATGTTAAAAAAAAATCAGTGGCTCTTAATAAACCTATAGAATATAATTTAGTATTATATTTAAATCCTCTCACATTTGGTTCTTAATTCCAACTACTTTTGCAATTGTACCTCTCACTATTTCACTTCACAAATTCAGTACAATAGCCAAACTGTCATCATCTGATTTCTCTCTAGCTTGGCTGAGGGTTCCTACCACATACAGTATCTTCTACTGTATGTGACTATCTAGAATGATACCGTCATTCCCGGCTCTGCTATAAATGCCATTTCTTGTGTGAAGCCACATATTCCTAAGAGATAATTAACTTACTCCACCTTTTATTCTCTTCAATATTTGAACTGCACCTTCCGTACAGTAATTGCTTTATAAATTTTGTACATTTTTGCTTTATCTGGCTTATTAGACTCAAGTACTTTCAAGAGCTAAGGGGGGTGATGACAGTCTAATTCATACCACAATGCCTTATGTACAGCAGGCTCCTAATACACAAAAAGATTAACAAACATGTTCAGACTGAATTCAAAATTGTACATACCTGTTTTTCCTTGTTCAGGGACTCTTCCAAACTAGTAACCATTGCCCGATACTGCTCTACATTACTAGTACTTGTTTTGAGTCTCTCTTTCAAGTCATTCACCTGCTCTTCTGTTTGCCTTAGCTGACTCAGAAGATCGTCCACATCATCTTTATCATTAGGCTGACCTGAAAGATGTAACAGCTCTATTAAAATAAACATTTTAATGGTACTATAGATGACTGTTATCAGAGTTCATGAAATTAGGATTAAAGCTGAAAAAGTATATTTCAATCCACGTTGAACACCAAAATAAAAACAACTGTTCTGTCATCATGTTACTTCTTCAGAAAGTTCAAATATTTGAAATCAGGTGTCACAAAAACTAAGAAACAAATATTTAAAAAATATCAAATGTTAAATATTTCCATTAAACTGAGGTAGCTACCTGAAAAAATGCCCAAATTCTTAATTATAAAACATTATTTACTCTAAAACACTAAATCTTAAATCATTTGTCCCAATTTTTGCTATCTAATATGCATAAAAAGGCAAAAAGTGCAAGTTAAAAAGAATGCACTTGATGTCAACAAGAAAAGACTATTGGATATTTATACTTGTATTATACGCAGTATGTACCTATTTCAGATCTCTATGTACCTGTATACATACATATTATCACATACACAGAGATACTCCTTGACTTATGATAGGGTTCTATCCTGATAAACCCACAGAGAGTAGAAAAAAATCCTAAGTTGAAAATGCATCTAATACATCTAACCTACTGAACATCAGTTTAGCTTAGTCCAGGCTGCTTTAATTATACTCAGAACACTTAGATTACCCTACAGTTGGGCATAATTATCTAACATGAAGCCTATTTATAATAAAGTATTTATTATCTCATGTAATTTATTGAACACTGTACTATAGTTTCTACTATATACATATAACTTTTATACCATTGTAAGTTAATTTGAACCACTGCAGGTCAGGGACCATCTGTAAACCCTTATATTATTTACTTCCCTTCCATTAGAAAATAAACCAATGCAGAATTAGAAAACTCAGAACATAACTTAGTCAGGTGCTCTGCATAACTATTTCGAATCTTCAAGACTGTAAATTTATTAATTTAAGCCCTCAACTGAGCTTTACAAAAGAAGAATGAAATAGGTTTTTTCCTTTTTTAACATCCAAATACATATGTTTATTTCCAGAATATATTATAAATGTTAAGTACTTTTTTAAAATACTGTATCAGTCTACTTACTTACCTTTACCAGTTCTCTGTGAAGACTGAGAAGCAAGTTGGACTTCCATATTACTGAGGTGCTGTTTCAATGTAGCAATTTCTTTTTGAGCATTTTTTAATAGTTCCTTTGTGTTAAGATGAAGATTTGTCTCAGTATCTAGTTGTCTCTTTGTATCTAAAAGTTGAACCTACAAGAAAAAATACATAAACTCTGTGAACATTACCTTTACCTTCCTAAGTAACTGAAGCTTCAAATTTTCTTTCTCAGAACCTTAGAACTCTAAGAAAAATAGAGTAACAGGAAAACATTTACCTTCCCACCTGAAACAATTAATAGGGAATAGACAAAACATGTGAAACCACTGAGACCCTTGGGATGGTAAACAACAGAGAAAGAACCCTGTGAATGTCCTGTTTTTCTGACTTCAAAGTTTCCAGGCTATAACACAGGGAAATGAAGGAGATACTAGGGAATCCCCTGAACTGGGAAGACAGATTTGAGAATCCAGAAGACTAAAGCAGCTAAAATTCATAAGATAGAACATTAGAGAGAAGAGAGTTGTGCAGAGTACCCTGGAGATTTTCAGATGGCCACTCTTAAATATTCAGCAGAGTAATGCTGAGTGTATGCATATGAGAAGTTTACTCAAGACGGGAAAGAATGATTCAAAGGGATTTGAGTGAGGAGTGCCTGCCACTCAAAGAAAGTCAGGAAGAATGCTTGTTCCCAGAAGCTGAGATTGATAAAATGAAATTTAACTGGACAGTGGGACTTGCCTCAGTAATGGGAAAACATGTCCCAGAATGAGTACTGCTGTGGGCCCACCTAATATATTATAAAAAGCAAAACACAAAAGAATCAAAACATTTTCAATTCATTTTACTGTATCCCCAAACATAGCTCAAGAAGACTTAAAGGAATAAAAAAATACCTAGCACTCCAGAGGGTAAAATTCAATGCATGACACTCAATAAATAATTACTAAGCATATATAATGAGTCAAAAAAAATTTTGTAAAAAAGTTTTTAATAAGTTCTTTAAAACCATGCTTCAAATTGGATGGCAGTGTATCCACACATAAGATTAATTACCATGATCCCCCCCAAACAAGACCTACCCCCAAAATAAGCCCTAGCAGGATTTCTATGCATTCGTTAAATATAAGCCCTACCCTGATAATAAGACCTAGCGATAGGTGTGGCTATGTGAAAGCCATGCATTTCAGCAAGGAGCGGTAAGGAAGACCGGAATACCTTTTATCTGCCACAGCTCCTTTCTCCCAGCCATTTGCACTTGCGCGGGTACGCGTGTGGTAACCGCGGTGGCAGGCATCCTATTGCGCACATGTGAACAGCTAGGGGAAAGGAGTTCACACATCACTAGTGCTAGCCCCACCAACAAGGTTGGCTCCCCCTGTTAGGTTCCAGAAGATGACGACTTAACTGTATTTAAATAAATGTAGATTGTTGTATTATACTTAATAAAAATAAGACACCCCCTGAAAATAAGCTCTAGTGTGTCTGGAGAAAAAATAAATATAAGACCGTATCTTATTTTCAGGGAAACACGGTACTAAACATAAGTGAATTACAAACAAAGCACCAAAGACTCACATCCAGGTTTCTAGTGAGTGTATGCCTTTGTTCCACCTCATTTTCCAACTTCTTCTTTAGATGAGAGATCTCATGTTCCAATTTTTCTATCTGGCTACTAAGCCTTTGTTTGGTTTCAGTTTCAGATCTCTCTAATATTCCCTAAGTAAAGGAGAAAATTTTGGTTATGTTTAATAAAGTAAAAATAAATAAATACATAAATAAACAAAAAAAATAAAGGCTATTAAGAAGTATAGGATTATAAGGCATTGCTATATTGAAATTAAGATAAAGACTATTTGCCAAGAGAGTATTTTGGCATTTTTCATGTTAAAACATCCATTATATATAAAAAAAAGGAGAAAGACAAGTTTCCCAAAATATTAACCAAATAATTAATCTGCTAAATAGTTGCATAGGCCCCTATAAATACAGACCTTAATAGCCAATTGCAGGGTTTCAATCAATTCTTTCAATATTCTATTGAAAGTATTGCAATATTTTAAAAAACCTCAAAATTTAATGATTATTATAATGGATGAAAAAGTGACATAAATTTTGTAATGAAGAAAATTAAGAACATACAAAGATAAAACTATTTCAATTTTTATACATTTTTTCTACAAGTGCTTTTTATTTGGTTACCTGAATGGTTTGCAGATTAGTTAGCAGCAAGTTTTGCCCCCTTTGTTCAGCTAACAAAGACTCTCTTTGCTGAGAAAGACGGACTTCTGACAATTTAAGCATTTCCTTTTCCTTCTTCAAATTTTCTGCTCTTACCTTGAGGCAAATACAAGTGAAAGAAAAAATGCTGGAAAACATTGCATCAAATCTAATAATTCAATTCAATTTTAATAATTCAATAAAATGAAAGTGATTCATTACTACATATTTCTTAATGCTGTTTAGAGATTACACCTCTTCATTATATAAAGAAATATAATACTTACTTTCATGTGTTAAAATAGGAAGCAAAAATTACTGAGAATAGACCAAAAAAAAAAAA